AGCTTTCAAGTAAATACAATAAATTAGTTTCGAACCTAAGTTAATATGATCAACCAATTAATTTACCTAAGGGACTACAATAAGCAGCAGAAACACTGGGGAAATCGTAGGTATTACCCTTGCCAAGTACATCTAAACCAGGCAAAAATTTGAGACTATCAGGATTGGGTGTGTCTTGTGTTTGAATAAACATATTGCGGCGATTTTCACATTGACATAGTGGAGAATGGAACTTCTTTCCGTCTAGAAGTTTTCTATTTGGAGGTTTCGGCCCAAAATGTTGAAAATAAGTAAAATTTTGCGCTTGTGTTACGCATCTAAATTATGGATAAATGTTATAAATTTCATCACAATTTTAGTTCTATCTAACACTCACAAGGTAAAGACCCCCATATTACTTTGACGAATGGCACCAGGTCTACAAATTGAACGTAGAATTAAACGATACATATTTGAAAGACTATCTATTAAAATTGCGAATTAAGACGTTTTATCACCGGCCCGAAGAGAATTATAAAATGTTAATCAGCTGTTACTGTTTATGTTCATTTATTGTGAATGAATTCAAATATCATAGCAGAGCTGCCACATATCTTTTTAGCTAATAAGGCCATGCATATACGTATGGCGAAATTATAATTTCACCATGACGTATCCGTATAAGTGCGTTTGAAGAGCGAAATACACAGATACTACGTTTATGCGTAGGCTAATTCACGAATTCATTTAATGAATTTGGGTTAAACTTGGCTACATAAACACCATTTCACGAATTCAATTATACACGAATGTTAACCATGAGTTCGGCATCATTTCATGAAATTTTGAAGTGCAAGTCCGGCAACGCCACGTTTCACAAACAGCTGTTTACTAGGGTTTAGGAATGTTCGATATTTAAGAAAGTATCGATATCATGAATCGATTGCAATGAATTAGCATTTAAAATCGATATGACGATATATCGGGCTGAACAGTATCGATATCGAAAAAAATTGACGTTGAAAATCCGACTCCCAATTGGATAGAATATTAAACCTGCCTATCAACTCGCCTAATTGTGTTATTTCCAATTTGTATATTTACTGAGGATTAAAACGGCATGCCGGACGACCTAAGCGGTTTGTCAAACTTAAGAGCTAAATAAATCACACAAGCTGCTGATTAAACCTACTTTAGTATTTTCCCATACACTTTTTTGTAGATGAAAAATATATTTCAACTTAAATATCGTTATTGCGGGTAAAGTATCGATGTATTCGATATATCGACCTTGGAATATCGATTCAAAAAATCGATTATCGTGTCATGAAATATCGATATTCAGGATAATCGATACGATATCGAACATTCCTACAAGGGTTATGATGTTTTTAGATTAGCTTTGTTTCTTAACAGATAACTCACACATTTTTTACTGGATTCTCCTGGAAAACGTTACTTAACACAAAAAATTTGCAGAAGAGAGCCAAAAAGACAGCGTAAAAACGAGAGAGCTGCAAATTTCTGCTGGCGAAATTTCTGACAAAAGTTGGCAAGTTTATTTTAATTCGTTTTAATAAAACAAAATTAGTGCATCGTTATCGTTGTACATGCATTTGAAGATGTGTGTGTGTATATATACAGTGCTTGCAAATTTCTGCTAATTTTCGTTTCTTTACTTTTTCGATCTCTTTGCGAGGAAAATAAAACTCTTCGCCAATCTGCTGTCATCAGCTGTAAAAAGTTAAGAAACACGCATATTAAAAAGCATGAGTGGCAAGGCGTACTTAACAGGTGATAGCAGCACAATTTTATTTTTCTTCGCCTCACGGCTTCATATGTCAAATGGCTGCTGTTGATTGGTTGTAGCAGTTGATTTTTTATTGTTTTCTGTTCTCTTTCACATCCTTCGTATGAAGTTTTTGATAGCCGCAAAAGCAAAAACAAAATACATGTACATTTTGTTATTGGCGTACCGATACCACCTTATTGAATACGCCTTGATGAGTGGCATAACCAGGATTCAAAACACTGGAAAAGTACGTAGAACCGGCCGGCTTGCGAATGCAAAACTGCAGGTCCCTCTACCTTCTGGTTTGCTTGCGTTTTGTTCCATATTTTAAACCAATTGCCATGTATCTTCTTTAGTAGAAAATAGCATGCGTGCGTTTAAAACGCCAAATATACCTCACAAACGGTTTCAGATTGTAATGCCAAATGTGCGCAACCATGGTTAGATGCTAGTTTTAAACGAGGTTGCGCAAGTTAAACTTTTTCTTCTAGTACGGTTTAGAAATAAAAGAGACTGATGTTTTGTATTTTGACGTTTTGGAATGCACCCTAAGTCTCCACGATGAGAGGTCCATTAATGGACTGACGCTGATCACTTCGACCAGTTAGACACACTTAAGATAAGATAAACACACGCCTCTGTGCATAAAAAAATGTGTGCCCACCAATACAAGGAAAGCTCAATTGGGGAAAGCTGTACTTACAACACACGGCCAGATATTTGGCACTCGACTCTCACTCCTTGCTCTCTGAGATTTAAAAGCCGACATCTCACACATCACAAACCTACACCGAAGACGTAGTATTATTTTAGCGAGCCCATAACAACAACTGGGATGACGATAGGGCACACCGCGAGCTGGTTTGGATCGATATAGGAAGCTGAAGAAGGAGACATGTTTTCCGTAACAAGAAAAGCGCAATACATGAACGCAAGATCATGAAATGCTGGACGATAGGAAAAAACGCACGTAAACTATAACAAATAATAATTCTGTTCCCGGGAACCTAGACTACATTCTTTGTGCATTGCGTATCCAAATCGGTTAGACCCATTTTTCCTTGAATTGTTTCTTTCGAAGAGGAATTATTGCCGTATGAATAAAAACTAAGCTATTGCTTTTTCTTAAAGAGTTAGACCTTTTACTTTCGCGGCCATTGTGGTTTAGTGGTTAGCAGTGCGCGCTACTATTCCTGAGAGCCTGGGTTCGAGCCCAGTTTCCTACCAACATCAAAAAAATACAAGTAATTTTTAGCAAAAAAAAAACCGACTTAAAAAAATCCAATGATCGAATCTAAACTAGATTAGTAGGGGATCACCTCTGAGACACCACCTTTCCGATGCAAAAAGAATGATCGAAATCGGTTGACGCGGTCCAAAGTTATGCGGTAACATAAATAAAAAAATATATATTCCGACGAACTGATAACCTCCTCCGTTTTCGGAAGTCGGTTAAAAATGAAACATACAATTTTTTTTTCTAATAGCGGTCGCCCTGCGGGCAATGGCAAATCTCCGAGTGTAGTATTCTGCCATGGTTTTCATAAAAAATTCAATCGCCGTTCGGAGTCGGCGTAAAACTGTAGGTCCCTACCATTTGTGTGATAACATCAATGCGCACGCCAGAAAACGGAGGAGAAGCTCGGCCACACTCTAACATATTATGTAAGCGCCAATCTATTAATATTATTACTTCTTATTATGTTTATTTATTTGAATAAATTGAGAAAAAATTCTGAAATTTTAAGAAAAAGTAATTATAAATATTGACTGGCGTTTACACGCTGGTGTTAGCGTCAGAAGAGGAAGGGTCTTCTCTGAGATGGAAAGACCAAGGGTAGAAGGACTTTGCTTTACTTATCATTACCAATTGCCGTTACATGGCACAATGCAAAAAGACTGACGTGCTTTATTGTACATATTTGGTAAAAACCGCTTTGGCGGTTACAGCGCCAAACAAGAAGACGAAGAAAGATGTATTTATGAAGTCTAATCAGTTCATTGACATTGGCCTTTAGCCTTCCACGCTATACGAGCATTCTACTCACGGTAAATACAAAATTTGTTTATTCCAATAAAAATCTCTTACAAACACATTCCTCATTTCGTGGGTTTTTTTGAAGGCATATAACTATTTTTCAATCACATGTATGTATGTATGTACATATGCACATACATCTGATATGTTTAAGAACGTATGTAAATAAAACTGCTTTGTAAATATTCAAATGCAAGGCAGTTAAGTTGAATTTGTTTTTATTGAACAAGCAAAATATTAAAAATATGTTCATTGAAGAAGTTTAATGTGCAAGTATTTACATAGTTGGTAGGTGCGTTTGGTTTAATGGAAGGTTGATAGTTTGCTATAAAATGAATTGGACCCACTTAGAAAATTACAATTTAGTCGTATTTCTTGATTAGTACATCGTTAAGGGTTCACCAAGTTGAAAATGAAACTCTTGTATTGTAATTTACTTATTTTGTTGGTAGTAATCTATCATGTTGGCATAACTAATACTCAGACCACTGCAACTTCTCCAACTACAACTACGGGTACAGCTACAACTGCATCCAATTCATCATCCAACTCCACATCAAATTTGAGAGCAAGAAATGCTCGACTAAGACGACGTGTAGCTCGGCAATTAAGGAGACAAGCTACTGGGCGTAGAAGAAGAATAGCTCGTCGACAGAGGAAACAACGACAACGTGCACATCAAATTCGTCGAAGAAGACGTCAGCAAAATGCAGGTTAATATAAGTAAAAGAATAGAACACTTGTTTTAAAATGCAGCATAAAAATGGGAATAATTATGCAGTACAAGTTTTATGGGGGTGAATATGATATTAAAGTTAAGCGTTATACAAAAAAACAAAGATTTCACTAAACTGAAATTTCAATGAATATTTAGCTGTAGTTCAAATAAATATTGTATATATGTAAATTGCAAAGGTAAGGGTAAGCGGAGGTTTGACAATACCAGCCGAGGCGGGACCGCTATTAGAATTTATTTGTTAGATGTTGCTCGAGCCAGGGATCGAACCCTGGACCTGCCAAGTGGTAGTCTCTCTAACCACTGGGAAGGGCAAAAAATATGGTCAATAGTGAAAGGCGGTCGAAAATATTAAACTAAGCCTTGCTATAAAAATGGTGCTCGTTATGTGTGATATTCTATCACGTTCAACTTGTAAAGTAAAATTCGGACACCAAATTAAAAGATGATTAATCAGTTTGCACATATTCATAGTTTAGTCATTCCCACGACAGTCGGATCTACGTACTGGAATGACTCGGATTTGTACTTACCAAGTGATGTTGTTTCTATGTAGGTTAGCTTACGGTGGTTGCAAGGCGAATTTATACCCGGTGGTGTTGTTAGATCAGCTGGTTTCTTTGCCTAACTGCCGTCCCTAAATTGGAGCGCTAAGCGTTACGTTATCCATTGTCAACGAGAGTCAGCGCGCGCTATCCCCAAATCAACGCGTCGTAATTTTTGACGTTTTCTCAGGTCCTCTCGTTTTTATTCTCTTTTCCTCTTTCACTTGTTTGTCCGTTCTCTTTCTTTCCGTCTTCTGCATCCAACTTCAACACGTAACGCCCTGTCAAAAATGAAGATTCCATTTGCTCGGCGTAAGCGCCGCGTTATTGTGGGATGCTTCATACAAATTGTATGGGCATGAGGATTTTTGACAGTTGCTTGGCGCTTGACGCGCCAATTTAGGGATGGCAGTAACATGTATTTTGTTTTTGCTTTT